AGATAGTTCAGTAATCCCAGACACTTGCCAAATGTATGATCTTGGTTAAATTATTTACTTGTTTTGTGTCTCAGTTTCCTTGCCTGAATAATGGGGGTTATTATACTACCAATTTTATAGGATTTGAAAATACATGTAAAGTGTAGCTTACACTAGTGCTTGACCTACAATAAAAGCTTACCAAATGTTAGCTGTTAAAATTATAAGTAATAGAGTACAGCCTTTGTTATTCTTATTGATGTTAAATTTTAATTTTGTTTTATAGTAAGTATAAGTATAGTATAGATTTAATTGTAAAGTTAATTGGAAAATTATTTTGTAATTAAATTTTAGCAAATTAACTTTCAGAAGTTTGAAACTTCTGACCATTTCATAGTCAATTTCTTTCCCGGAACTTGGATTTTTCAAGGCCAAGTTTAAGTCACCTAGGTTTGCCACTCATACTTCAGTTAGTATTTTTTTTTTTTTTTTGGATCAGCTCCTCACAGAATCATTTTCTGATTCAGGGCAAAGAAGTGTTTTAACACTCTCCACTAGGATTTGAAACTTTGACGCTATTTTCTGACAAACACTGAGCTAGATTCATATCTCCTTATATGCTTGTGTCCAAGTCATTGGGTTCTAATGCTGAAGGTTATATACAGGCTATTAGAAATTTAATACCAGCTTCACTTGATTATATGGACATTTTTATCTATTCTCAGACTAAACTCATTATTTTATCAAGTCTTTTAGACTCTGCAACATATACTAGTATTATTAAACTTCATATTACTTTTCTAATACTTAAGATGGATTGTCCTTTCTTGTAGAAAAACTGATTTATTGGGCTTTCTGTTTTTAGGGGGTGAGGTTCCATTAAGTGTAATTGTGGCTGTTTTTAGTAATATCTAAGAAAAATTAAAAAGACATTTTATGTTGATATTGTATTATATAGACAATAGTTAACTATCTGCTTAAATGTGATATGTAGACCACCCATTGTTAGAACTAGCATTACATACATCCTTTATTTCTCATAACAGTGAGTTTACAGAAAATGAAGTACTACTGATTTATTGTTCTTATTTTACAGCTCTTTGAGTTTAGTGCTCCATGTGTTGGCTGAGTAATATGTGATGTGAAGGTATACATTTCTCTAGGATGCACTTGATATTCTTTCAGTTTGGTATATCTTTTATTGTTGTGATGTATGAGAATGCCAGATCTAGGAATTAATGCTATTACTGAACCGGGCTGTGAAATCTAATTTTTCTTACTAATTTTTTTATGTCCACTCTTTCAAATTCATTCTAATTTAATTTATCTTGTTGTGTTGAAGAAATCTAGTACAGTTGAAAACAAAACAGTGATTCAATCCTATGTTGGAAGGCTTGTTGCATTAAAAGCTTTTTAAGAAACATCTTTAAAAAGTCATTCTATTTAGATGAATTCCTTTAAAATTGTATCTTATTTTCCAGTCTAAAAATACTTCTTTTATCGCCAAACACTGTTTTATGAAAACAATTTTGTTAACCACTTTTTTTGTTGTGGGTTATTTTCCTCTTGGAAACTTACTAGTTATTTTTATAATTATAATGTGAAAATTTTCTTCTGCAACCTCATGGCTGAATGACTTTTGAACCAGTGGAGAATAAATAAAAGGAACAGATAGCTTAAACATCAAGATTCTGATTTTATGTAAATAGTTATAGTAATCAAGCTAACAGAAAATGACAAAAACTTTGAAGTGTACAAAGTTTGGAGACTGTGCTATGGCATTGGTTTCTGTTTAAGGGCATTAAACTTTTATGTCTGGCATAGTACTGTCTCTAAACTTGATCTTTTTTTATAGTGTTAGGCTTTAGCTTTCCCTGCCACCCTTTCTACAGAATCTTGGATCTAACCTGCAAATAATGAGGCTGAAAGTCAGAATGGTATTACAAGCCTTATTTGGCATTTATAGCTTAGAATGCTAGAACTCACAATTTGTGTTTATTCTATAGCTTAGAATGCTAGAACTCACAATTTGTGTTTATTATATATGTATGGAAATGTGTGAATATGCCTTAGTTAAAAAGAAAAAAAAAGTTCTTTTTGGAAAAAGGAAATGATATGTTTGAAAGTAGTATCAGTTATTATCTATTCTATTGTCAAAATTATTAGCTAGCATTAGTTCAAAAATGTGAAAATGTCCACTTGTCATTCAAAAGTACCTCTTTTTGATTAT